CGCTTATACTAAGCGAGAAAATGCGCGGAAACGAAATGTGGTTGCCGACGTCACCTTGAGATTCCCGCACGGTGACGTAAGAAATTTCGAAGGCGTCTGCTGGGCCCTACGTGTAGTTTCCAGTCGATAAAAATGAAGTACACAGCAATGTTTGGGTGCCATAGACATAGCATACAAAGTTTCAAAAAGTTTTATCGAGCCTATGTCGCGAAACGGGTTTAACATACCGAAGCCACGACGTCATTGTGAGGCGCGTGAGAAGGGCTCCGCGGATTACGTTCTACCACCAATGAAACTTTTTTTTTTGATTGCGCACCTTAAACCGGGGTATACGAACGTTTCCTGCATTTCGCCTCCACGGAAATGCAGCTGCCGGGAATCGAACTCGGGAAATGTCAATCCGGGACGAGCATGAGCCAGAAGAGCTACCACATTCGGTTACCAGCTTTCGGGACATCTCCCACATGTACCGAGAGGGAAGGTGCAGGATATACCAAACCGCACCCCGGCCTGACCAGGCAACAACAGACCACATTGCGTCGAGCGCAGGGGGGATCGTTTGCGGATCCCGTATACTGCTGAATCGCATGTATACCCTGCGGAATAACACGACATGCTCTGTCCGTTTTGTAAAATAGAAAATGGCACCCTGCCGCACATCTTGGCAGAGTGCACAGAACTCGAGAACCCACCACCGTCCCTTCCTCCCGACACCCCGAATCCCCAACCCCTTGAGCGATGGGTTTCCCCCCTTCCCTGCGCTAATCTGTGGCGGTATACCTTCATCGAGAGAAACAGTAACGGAACAGCGCTTATCTCTTCATTTTTTCCTGTTTTCAAAGCCACTTCGGGATACCTTGTTATCCAGCCCTGCCCTACCGACTCAGCGTGCACTGACGGACAGGAGCTGCTGGATACATACGGGAGCTGCTGGAACTATAGGGAACCGCCCCGTATGGTGCCTGGGCGCACTGCCAACAATATTGGGCCCAATAAATGTTGATTCATCATTATCTTCGTAAACTCAAGCTAAGCTTACGTGCGAAGCTACTATCCACGTCGCGTATCTCGGGCTTTATGGAGTACTTCGCGTAAGCATTATATATATATATATATATATATATATATATATATATATTATATATATATATATATCATATATGTGTGTGTGTGTGTGTGTGTGTGTGTGGTGTGTGTGTTTCTTGTGAAGCGATTGCTGAAAGCTCACACCACCTAAACGGGTATACGTGAAGCGTAATTTGGCTAAATCCCACTATTCAGTTCTGTAAAAATGAAGAACGAAGCAGCCCAACAACAAATTTCTGCAAAGCAACGGTGGCGAGCCGAAGACGCCGAATTGATGGAAGGCGTACGCTGATGGTGACCTCCCCGTATAAGTACGAGAGGTTCGATCGCCTGGTTTCAGCGCGAGTTTCTAGAAGTCTTGGGAATTGGGACATGCGTGTAGTGGCTGTGACTTTTTGTGGTTCTACTTTTGAGAATCAACGTAAAAACACTTATAGCATCGCCTACCTAAAGCCTATAGAACGACCTATAGAAACAACAACCTGCAGCTAATGTCTAGAAACGACATCGAAACAATCAGATTAGCCTTCACAATTGTCCTTTTTTTCTGTTTGAAACCTTGTACGGCTTATTGCTAACTTCGCCAATCTTTTCTTTTTTTTTTTAAATTAGTGTCCATGTTCTTGCTTTAGCTCGAAACTGCTTTGTATTAAAAGAGCACTGGCAGGCAAGCTTGCGATTGTTATTTTACTGCGTGCAGTGAAAGCCCACGAAGGAAGTTAGTGAATGTGCGGGTAGGAATGAATGAACCCCGAAAGACACATTACAACATAAAAAATCTCGTTTCGGCTCCTTACGTCATGGCGTGGTATGATCATCTTGACGTGTGCTTTTGCACCAGGTAAAGGGGCGTTTTTGTGGCCGCTTCGCTTCGTGGCTATACGTTGGTAACACATGAGGGGTCATACTGCGTTTTGTTACATGGCGTCATCACAGCTAGCTGTATTTTTGTTTGAATCGCTAGTATTGATGATCCAGCCTGTCGTCATGCTGCTGTCGATGTCAGTAGGTGTGCTGTACAAAAATTGACTTTAATCAAATACAATATCAGCTTTCTGCGCGTCATACTTCGCTTAGAGCCGTCGCTGTATTTATGATAATTGCATGGTGGATGAAACATATAGCTTTAAAAATGGGTGTCACTAATCGTATTAGCTTGTGACTGTCAATATATCCCTTCGTTCTTTTATTTGTGGTCTTTTGCTGTTACTTCGTAAAAACTTCGACAACGCAGTATATTACGGCGTTGATCTATGTCTTGTTTGCATGAGTAGCTGCCTAATCGAAAATCAGTGCGATAAAGAGAGGCGCCGCTATGGACGGTTGACTTGCCGCGTGGGCTTGAAATTGCGTCAATGCCAGGCGTTACCGACCACCAGGGAGCAGCGCGTGGGCGTTTTAGAGCAGCAATGCCTGCGCGCTTGGAACCCTGTGCGTTTTAAGCGCCTGTGCGGCGTTGTCGCTACGCCTCGGAGGAGACGAAAAGTGTGTATGGGTCCGTGTCGATCGGCCCGCGCTTGCGTCGAAACGCACTGCTATCGCTCTTCCTAACGCAAGAGTGGACGACGGGGCCAATTTCTTTCAAGACTGCATCGAAAAAAAGCGTATCGGGGGAGGGGGGTATAAAAAAAAAATGAATGCGAGTCGCTGTTACTTGCTCCCCCCTTATTTTTGGATTCGATTGCCGGACGACGTGGCAACGTGAAAGAAAGAAAAAAAGAAGATTGCTGCAGGCAACCGTGCAAATGGCGGAAGGAGCGACGCTCGGAGCGTGTGCGCACTTTTGCGCGATTGGTTGGGTTCGCCCCTTCTGCGGAACTGACGTCACGCTGCGCTTCCGTCGTCTGCGGATTGTCTAACCTTGCCGTCGCGCCCTCCTTGCCCATCTCGGCGTTTGCGCTCCCCTTTTTCCTCTCGTTTGTGCTAAGCCCGCCGCTGGTTGGTTCGTTGCGTCGGTCTCAAAGGAGTGGCTGAGAGGAGGCCAGCAAAACCAGCGTCGCCTCCTTCCAAACCCACCCAACCAGCCTACCGACAAATTATCCGTGCCCGCCAGACGTAACTAATAATAATAACAGCACGCCGCCGCCGCCGCCGCTTTCGCCGACTGGCGCTCGCATCGTGCGCTGCTGGGAAGGGTTGAGGTCATTCCCGTCCTCTCACAACCGATTCCCGCGCGCCATCTTTGTATTTTTTCTGGTTGCACGTTAAGTATAAGGCAGGGTAGAAGTGCATCTACTTTATTTTTCCTTCTTTCTCATTCAAAAGCCCGTCCTTTGAAGGTAGCGCAAGAACTCTTTCCCAACTCTCGCTCTCTAATCTTCGCTGTTTTATATTTTTGTTTTTTTTTTCATTAGGTAGTGCGCTTCGTCACGTGCCACCGGCCTCCGGAAGGCCTAACTGCTTGATGTCGGCGTCCACTGCTATTTTGTCGCGACACATTTACCTTATTTTACCGATTTTGTTTCTTGTCTATGGGACCAATACTGTTCTAAAGAGTACGGAATGTCATTGCGTATCTGCTTGTTGTTTCTCTTCTGGCCTGACATTTCGTGTGTCTTGCGGCTTTCCAAAGACCTAGTGGAAGGACTCGTTTTCCGAATAGTATACCGTGCTGCTCGCAGCATGTTTTAATAACCTCGTTGCAGCGATTCGGCGCCACTTCTGTCGTTCATAATACTGAGCGGCGATTCCGCTCTTTCTTTTCTTAACCACCGACAGGACAGTGACAGGCATCGGTACGATGTCGTTGAGACTCTGTGCCATTGTTGTTTGTTTCGTAAGCGAACGGCCGGCCACCGCATGCGTGCCGTAATGCCTTCCATAAGGATCAATTGAGCGCAATTGGTGCCGAGTCTTCGGAGACGTTCTCCGCCATCGGACCTCTGTACTGGTCACGTGTTCGCCGAGACGCGTTCACGCAGACGGACACCGTCAAGCAGACCACATATTTGTTGCAGACGCTGCCAGCTGACCGGCCAAGGCTGTGGGTTTTACAGCAATGTGCACGCCATAATTTGAATTTCCGCTGCGTGCGCTGTGAGAGTCCCTGTTGCTTTTGGCGCTCCGAAATTTCTAGCAGCTCGATGATCGTTCTGCCAACTTTTCCCGGGCCTGCATGCGTCAAGGGGTCGTTTCTTTATTTGTCGATTATTATTGCTATTATTATTTATTTATTGTTTTCACGAAAGATGCAACTGGCGGTTGCGTCAGTTTTCGCCTGTAATACTATTGGCGGCCGTTAATTCGTGGTGAAGCTTTAACGTAACAAGTATACGCTCGTGTTGCAGTACTGGGGCCCATCCACTTTCTCATAAGTGCGGTGTTTGCGAATATGCCAGATTTTTGTTTCAGCCGGGGTTGCTCAAGATTGGTCGTCTGTTTCCGGTGATTGCCTGCTGCTTTTGCGTTCGTCTGCTTGGGTGTAACTATATGGTGGCTACGATAGTGTAACTCAGCTTCGGGAGATCCGTTGTCGGCTGTACGACGGACGTCTGCTTCCAGACGTCACGCATTGTTGTCATGCTTTGAGCGTGTGAAAGGGTGGATGGTATGATTTTTTTTTTGTGTGTGAGGTTGATGAGGTCACTGTCTCGTCGGAGTAGCTGGTGGTTGGAGAGAGTTGATGGCGCGAAACATTTTGAAAAGGGACCGTCCCGCCCGCGAGACCGGGCGCGAGACTGCGGCGTCGGCGCGTGATGCGGCGGCTGCAGTCAAACAAGCAAATGCGCGTCTGGAAAAGCGGCGGCCGGCGGCGGTACGCATCAAACAAATACAAATCAGCTGCTGCCGTTCTTTCTCCCTCTCTGCTGCGTCTGTGGCTGTAGTTGAGGCCCCGTCCGCTGACCGACGATGCGGCGCTGCGGTAGCGCGCCCGACGCTGGCGGTTTGCTTCCCGCCGGCGCAGACGGGTTCGCAGACGACAGGGTGTGAAGCAGACGACGGGAAGGGGTGAGGAGCAGCGCGGCCGTTTGGTCCGTCTGGCTCGCGGGTGCTGGTTGGCTGCTGGACAACGGCTGATGGTGCTGGGGATTAGTTGGGTGCAGTGGGCTGGTGTCGTTTGTTTCGGGCACGTCGTGGTGTCGAGCTTTTGAAGGCCACATCTGGCACAGGTAGCGGTCCGCGCAGTACGTTTGTTATCTAACGTTGCCGGAGGAAAAAAAGGTTGGGAGCGAGATTTTTCTATCTTTGAGTGGCTGCTATCGACGTATAGCTGCCGCTGAACGGGGGCTGGCTGCCTCGTTGGTTTTGAATTCAGAGAGAAGACGACGTTCCCGAACCTCGCTAACGGGAAGGTCTTGCGTCGAGATATCCCGCCATATGCAGAAGCGGAGCGTGCAAACCGGCCACCGTTGGAGAAAAAAAGCGGTAGACTACGACGCCTACAACAGGAGCGGGGAAGAAGCCGGACAACGGTGCGCGAAGATTGCGGTGACTGCTACGGTGCGCACGTAGCAGACGACGCAGCTGTAGCAGACGACGCGGAGGCGCCTACTTGAACGAAGAAACAAAACAAGAACAAAAAAAGCATTTAAAGATGGCCGAAGCAGTACCTCTGTAACGGAACGCCTCTCTGTGATTTGTGTTTCAGCGACCACGCAGAAAAGAAACGACGGTCCGGTGCTCACTGAGGACTGTTTTAAGATTCGGAGAGATGCTGCCGGAGATGAAGCGGATCTGCAAGTAGGTGTAATTGATTTTGGTGGCTTCGAAACCTGAACGTAATTCGGCGCCCTTTCATGTATCGTGCGTTTGGTGGGGAGGAGAAGAAGCTCTTGACAACTGTCGGTGACGTTTCGGGAACCAGCGCCATTTGTTTAGAACGGGCAACACACATAGGAAAGTGAACAAAGCAAAAAAAAAAAATTGTGTGAACAAGCAACGCTGTCGGACTGACACTCTTCATTTGTTTCTTCCGCGAACTGTTTCGAGAACAGTGTTGTGTATTTTTCTGAGACCACAATCGGACAATTTTTCGAAAAAAATCTCTCGGAAGTCGTCTTGATGCCGGCCGGATTCATGATGGATATATCCCGCCATTCCTCATCGAGTGAGCTCGGTAAGTAATTATCGCTCTTTGTTTTCTTTTTTTGCTTAAAATCTTGTTGTAAGTTGACAACATGGGTGCTCCGAATCGTAACGCGCACCACCCGTTCGAAATTTTCTCAAATTAAAAAAGAAAAACGAGCACACCCTCAACGTTGCCATGTGCCTATGTGAGGACTTCGAAGGCGCCGCCGACTCGGGTCTGTTAAGTCTTAATAACGTGCATACTCTCGCTGCATGTTTCGTAATCGCTGCGTCATCGTCTTTCTGCAGTCATTATAACGAGACCCCTCCCCCGCTTCCCCTAACTAATGTTAAACGACTCCCAGAATCGAGGGAATGCCTGACTGGTGACGAGCTGAAGTCGCGCGATCTCTCGCTCACTTCTCTTCCCCCTCCGAGATTCTTCGGCGAGGTCTCGTTCCGCGTTAGCTGCATGCGTCACGGGTTAGTTGCGCAGCTTTCGCTTGACTACGGTTACTAACGTATGACGCTAACGTCACGTTTAGACGGCTCGCTTCCGGCATGCTCTCTGGCTTTTCCCCGAGTCGCACGCCCAAGCACGTCGCGATTAGAATGCGACTAACGATGATGACGCTGCGTACTGCCAGATGCCGCCCGTATACTTAACGATACTGGCTGTATACTATACGAACGGACGCGATGTTATCGGTGAAATCATATCCGAGAGCGGCTCCGGACCGATTGGATACGCCGCTGCTTGTTCAATCCTGTGGCGCTGTCGTCGGCTTGAGCGCCTATCTGTCCTGTACGTATTCCGCGATAAATTCTATCGACAAAATTCTGCACGCGGTGGTGCACATGTGTACCGGCAGTTCGCCCGCCGACGCGTGTCAGGTAGGGAAAAAAAAAGGTTCCGCCATCTTGATTGCGGGGAATGGTTGACAGAAACGGCTTTTGGTTAGAGACTGGAGTAAAGAAATAACCAAAATGGTGACCACCAACCAGAGACGGCCGCTTTGCCCGCACGCGCAGACGAGAGCGTGCGCAGTTCAGCTGCGCAGGTGCGTAGCTGAGGGTTAGCAGACGCCGAGGGCGAGGGTGAGCCAGACGATGTAAATAGCTACAAGCGAAAACGCTCGTGTAAAAAATTTCTTTCTCTAAGCGTTGATTCGTCGCTCGCTTCCATTACACCCACACACGCAGAGAGAGAGAGAAAAGCTTTTACTGTGTGCACTGCGCTTCTTCGTCTCTCTTGCAACACTGCTCGCGCTGACACTCATGTCGACGAACTTTGTGCGGTTTGCCCCGGCTCTGTTCTCCGTTGTCTGCAGGGCTACATGGATGTACGAATAACGGGCGTCCGTGTGAAGAGCACTTTGATTAGTTATCGTACGCCTTGAGACCGCCGTCTTCGCGACATCTTTTTTGGCCACATTTTCCTGGAATTACGCGCGACTCTCGTCTGTCTATTGTTTGCTGGGGCCGACGCCCTATGTTCTTGCCGTCTGCTACAGATTCTTTGTGTAAAATGCCTATTTAAGTATACGAATTTGCTTGTAGCTGGCTTCCCTCTCAGTTTCGAAAATCGCGGGATGATGAACGTTCGTAAGCTTGGCCGCCATTTTGGCGCGCATTTGCACCGGTTGGCGGCTTGAATATCGGAGCGTGCGATCAGCGCTATTTAAAATTTCCGTCGCTTGGCACACAATTTGGGGCTATGTTAGCGTATCTAGCTAGTATTTACTGTGACGACGTTTGAAGATCAGGGTTTCTGGTTCGCTGCGACTTTCAGTCCTATGCGACGACGCCATCTTGGAGATGCCTTCTTTTTTACAGCGAGAGCTGTTATAAGATCACAACAACGGTCGTTCTTGGCGCCGTAGTTGTCCGCCGCTGGTGCCCGGAAAAACTAAAAAAAAACTAAGTAAACAAAAAACAACAGGGACACAATGGAATTTGAGCCCGAGTATCCCGTGTGCCAGTCTTGTATTCTACCATTGAGCCACGCCGGTGCTTCATTGCAGCCAACGCTCCGCTGCGAAACGACCCTAGACAAACTTCGTGTCGGGAAAGGAATCGCTTTGCGGTGAGTAATGAGGCGTTTTAGAACAGCAGCAGAACAAGCGGGCGTCACACAACGCGAAATGCGTAACGAGGAGGTCGTCGAATGCACCAAGCCATCACCAGAGCTTCGGGCATATTTTTTCATCGTCGTCAGCTACCGCATCAAAAACATTACACAAAATTCCTTGCAGGTGCACATGCATGTTGCCGGTACCATGCTTCTATACATCTCCGAAAAATGGCATAGTCAGTGCTTTTCTATATATTATACTACACAAACATTGTGATGATTTGTGGCGTAGTGGCTATTCTGCAAATGTGCTTCTAGCAGTTGTTATCCGACGAGTCCTTCAAAAGACTGCTTTTCTAGCTTTCGCTGTGACAGTGCTGCGCGTTCCGTGCAGGTTTTGCGTTTTTTTTTTCATTTACGCCCGTAAGCGACTACTTTGTTGTTTCTTGGGTCTAGGACATGTATAGCAGGGCTCTCAGAGTCGGGCTGACGCTCTAAACACTGCGCAGTGTTGTTTGGGCAATCTAAGTCCGTCATCACTATAGACTGTTTTAGAATAGTGTTTTTAGCGTTAGCGTTGCTTCGCTGTACGATAAGATGCTTTACTAACCTTAAGTGAGTATGCGCGATATGGCGCATGCGCGGTTGGTGCTCGCGCAAGGCTTCGCCTACTTGTTCTTTATATGCCTATGTATTTGTCCACTGCAAGACGTGTTTATCTTCTTTGAGCCCATCGTATACATTGCTCGCTGACACACGCTTTGTACTTATGAATTCGGTAATTCTATAGCGGAGCGATTCCACGTAAGATCGAACAAAGCATGGCTGGTCGACCTCTCATGTTTCTTTCGAAATTATATATATTGTTTGCCTGTTCAGTGGAAAGAAGAGATCCGCAATTGGTTTTGCTGTAAAAATGTTTTTCGAGGCTCAGTAAGTCAATAACGATGCGGAGGCGGAGTGCCACGCTTACCTCCTCTGCTGCTTTATTTTTTTTAGTTGGGTGTCGAATTACACAAAATGTAACCAGAAATTTGCTTGACTACATATAGGCGTACTGGCGCTTACGTTCAATCATATGTCGATTGTCTGCGCAGTGTAGATTTTTAAATAAAAATTCTCAATTTTTACCTAAAAACGCTTTTCTGCCTAGTTTGCAAGATTTTTTTTTTCTTTTTCGCAAAGTGCCTATGGCAGAGCGGTGAAAATACCGCAAGGTTTTCTCGATATGCTTATTTATAAAGCTGCTAAAGGTTATACTAATAGAACCTTTTTATTAAAAGATAATCGTGCTAACCTCAAAACAAAAGAGCATGCAAGGGAAACTTCTGACGACGATTAAAAAAAAAGCAATTTTTGATATTTTTCATACTTTTTCCACTTATTCTACTGCACATCAGCTTTCAAAATCAATCAAAACATGTTGCATTATATGGTTTCGCTTGGAGTTACGGCCCCTCAAAAAACGTCCTTTCGGAATGATAGGCAACGGTAGGTCGGACTGCCCGCTAAGTATGGAATGGAGGCCTGTACTTCAGTTTCTTACAAGGCAAGCAGCACTGAAATAGCTGTCGACTGCACTGAGATCGCCAATTTCGGAATGATTTGGTGACGGGGGTGGCCATGAGCGCGGGATTACCGAGTAAGAATGCGTGCACATATTATGTTTTGATATACGGAACTCAATTTTCTTGTGGCGCACCTACATTGACATTGGCTTGACGTGAGGCTATAGAATGCTAATTCTCGTGATTTCGCGCAGTAGTTGGGGCTCTTGTGTGCACGTCGGGTACCAAAGATTCCAATATGGCCGCTTGCAAGTTGCCAAAAACATTGAAAATAGCCACTATAGTGCCTCACCATGGGAGCCACGGTGCGGAGTGGCCATATACATGAATGGCACGATATCTTGCTCGACGAAAAGCTGATACCGTGTCGTGACGTCAGGGTAGAGTAGGAATATTACTGCTTCACGGTGCACATCCGCTTTGCAGTACATTTTCTAGGATCTTGACGGCTTAGCTTTTCATTTGACGCAAGAAAACAACTGCAAATTTTCGTGTCGGCACCCTTTTAAGGAAAACAGCCCAGAAAGGAGCCATACTCAAGTGAGACTATATATATACTTTCGCTGGAGGATGGCTATGACTGGCACACCGATTGTACAGTTTAGAGTGGAAGCGTTTCTGCCTCATTCACCAGGTCGTAAATTCCCCCCTTCCCCCCCACTTTGCTGGTCTTCTGGTTATTGCGCTTTGCTGGGGAACTGAAGGTTGCGGGATCGAATCCCGGTCGTATTTCGACGGAACTGAAATGGTAGATGTCCGTGGGTTGTGCAGTTTCAAGGCACGTTTTAGAGAAATCCGGGTGGTCGAAATATCCAAAGCCCCCCACTGCAGTGTATCTCATGGTTTTGGGACGTGAAATTCGATAGCATTGTCCTGCTCGTATGAAACTAAGCAGAATGAAACACGACAACGGCGTATTGCAACTGAACAAAATTTCTTTGCCAACAAAGGCCTGCGGTCAGATTTATTTAAGTACGGCTGTAAGCACCCTTCTATGCAACGTTTTAGTGCCGCAATCGCATTATTAATATGTGGCTTTTCTGCTAAACATTGTTAATAATTTAGCTTTTTATGTTACCTCTTGAGGCCATGTAGGTGAAGGGGAACTTATGCGCTGTTGCTTCAAACACGACCGTGTAACTGCACAATGATTCAACATGCTAGAAAATTTATCTTTCATGACAGGGTATACATGCATGCGGGGGTGGAAGTGCTGCCCCGATTGCTCTAAAGAGAAATACTGCTCCGTGCCGCTCCAAATTGTGGTTTTTGTTTAGTAACTGCTCCAAACGTGCTCCGGAATGGCACTGAGAAAAGACGAGTAGCTTTAACTGTGTGACCAGCTTGCAAGCTCTGAAAAAACCTGAAAACAATTTGTATACTATAACATCCTAGCATTCTAATATG